TCCATATTAATGTCAGAAAGGTCTTTTTTTAAAGATTTTATTTATTTATTTGTCAGAGAGAGAGAGACACACAAGCAGGGGGAGTAGCAGGCAGAGGGAGAAGCAGACTTCCCGCTGAGCAGGGAGCCCCGTGCGGGACTCGATCCCAGGACCCAGGACCATGACCTGAGCCAAAGGCAGAAGCTTAACCAACTGAGCCACCCACCCAGGTGTCCCCAATGTTAGAAAAGGTCTCATAAGTTTCTTAAAAAAACAAACAAACAAACAAACAAACAAAAAAACTGGAATTTCTGTTGAGAAAAAGATCTGGTTGAGAGAGGTGAAAGGCGTTTTGGCATAAAGATTCTAAAAGACCGAAAAGAGGAAAGAAGGGGCGCCTGGGTGGCTCAGTGGGTTAAAGCCTCTGCCTTCGGCTCGGGTCATGATCCCAGGGTCCTGGGATCGAGCCCCGCATCAGGCTCTCTGCTTAGCAGGGAGCCTGCTTCCTCCTCTCTCTCTTTCTGCCTGCCTCTGCCTACTTGTGATCTCTATCTATCAAATAAATAAACAAAATCTTAAAAAAAAAAAAAAGGGAAAGAAAAGAGGAAAGAAGCCAATGTATCTGGTTCTGCCTCAGACCTCATCCCACCCAACCAGGTTCATTTATTGAACAGAGATTGAGCACCCACTGTATACTAGGCATGTCCTCGGTGAGAACGGATCATAAGCAAACATACAACAAAATGAGAAAATGTGAGGAACTCAGTGCCGTGAAGAATGAGCTGCTAACGTGTAAAGAAGGTAGAGGAGGCTGTTTGAGTCGGAGAGCTTTAGGTGACGGGCCAGCACCCTCTTCTGAGGGGTCCTGTTCTGAGTTATCTGAATGGCATGAAGGGGCCAGCAAAGCACACAGCTGTGTAGACCATTCCAGGCAGTGGGAACTGCGAAGGGCTGGGTGGGCCCAAGGAACAGGCGGTGGGTGGGGCTGAAGCCCAGCAAGCAAGGAAGAGTGGTAGAGGCGAGAGCAGAGAGGTTGGATCCTACAGAGCTCTGTGGAACACTGAATCTGGATTTTTCCCAGAAGGCAACAAGCCGCTTTGGACGGCTTTTTAAGTGGGGGAGCGAGTGACCTTTTGTTGTGCTGTTAACCACCTTCCGCTTCTTCTCCAGCAAAAAAGGGAGAACTTGTCCCCGCTGTGCCTCATCCCCACGGTGACATCTCCCCGGGAGGAGCAGCAGCTCCTGGCCAGCACCTCCAAGGTGAGGCCCCTGAGCCCTGCAGGGTGGAGGCTGGGGGCCTCTCCCTGCAGCCTGACCCCCACCCTTCTCTCCCCCCCACAGCCCGTGGTGAAGCTCCTGCACAACCGCAGTAACAACAAGTACTCCTACACCAGGTGACTGCCACGGGGCTGGGGGGTGCCCTGGGCTGGGGGTAGGGGGGTGCTGGGCTCAGGTACCGCCCCAATGGGGCCCGCCCCAGGGTGTGGGGGCTGTGACCCCGCAGAGGGGCCGAATGCCCGCCAGGATGCAGATTGCAGCTCTGGGTACTTGGGCAGGTCATTGTCACCCTGGAGGCTCTGTGCACTGACCCGCAAACCGGGTTCCGGCGAGGGTTGCGAGAGTGGCGTGCATTGCCGCGGGCTCTTCCACAACCGACTGTGCTTTCCACGTGTTAACTCCTAGAATCCTCGCAGCTGTGTGAGGGCATACTATCTCCATGGAGCAGGTGGGGAACTGGGGCGCCAAGAGGTGAAGGAACTTGCCTGCTGTCACTCGGTTACAAGGAGCGGCGCCACGAAGGCGTCAGGTGAAGCCGCGGGGGCCTCGGAGCCCGGCGGCATGGGTAGCCCCTCCCGGGTGCTGCGGCTCCTCAGAGGCCCCCTGAACCCACTGGCAGGCCGAGGAAGCGCCCCGCTGGGCACGGGGACCTGAGTGCAGTGAGGCGTGCCCCCACGCTGCAGGAGCAGGGGGAAGGAGGCCAGTGTGCTATAAGGCCTCCTGGCCCCCTGGTTTTTAGCACTTCAGACGACAACCTCCTTAAGAACATTGAGCTGTTTGACAAACTGGCCCTGCGCTTCCACGGGCGGCTGCTTTTCCTCAAGGATGTCCTGGGGGACGAGATCTGCTGCTGGTCCTTCTACGGGCAGGGCCGCAAAATCGCCGAGGTGTGCTGCACCTCCATTGTCTATGCCACAGAGAAGAAGCAGACCAAGGTCAGAAGGGGCTCGGGGCCGGGTCGGGGAGGGCTGTGGTGGTGGGCAGCGCCCGGACCCTGGCCAGAGGGCAGCGTGGCCGACCACGTGGCAGAAAAAGTCCGGGGAGTCAGGAGCTGCTGTTCCAAGTTCCGGGGTCTCGTTAACCTGGGGCAAGTCACCTTCCTCCTGTGGGTCTGTCTCTCTGCCATGAAACGAGGGTTTTGGGCTAGAGTGGGATTCTTTACCTGGCCCATTTGCGTCTCAAGGCCGTCTTGAAGCAGTATGCAAGTTTGGGAGTGTAAATGCATTTTCCCATCTAGAAGGGACCATAGCTGTTAGACTCTCAGAAGGGTCCGTGACCCACAATAGGTTCTTAGAACCTCAGGACCTTAGAAAACACAGGTCTCTTAGGACACACTGAGTTTGTAAGTCCTGAGACATGAATGTGGCAGTCAGCACATAGTTCCTGAGAACGTCCTCTGCACTGAGCACAGCACCAGGCTTGGAATCCAGGGGAATGCAAGGCCTAGGGAAGTAGCAGCCCTCTGTCGTGTCCCCTGCTCCCTTCTGACCTTGATACAAGGAAAGTGCCTCAGATACGCAGGTCTCTGAGCACCCAGTGCTACTTCGTACCTCCCCACCCAGCACACACTGGTCCCTCCTCGGGGACTTTTTCCTCACCCCTGGCTGCCTAATGATCTCCTGCTCAATCTTTAAGACACAAGCCAAGCACAGCTTAGTTTGGGACAGCTTCGCTCGTGAGCTTTCAACCTCTCACAGCCCCAAAGCTGGTCATACTTCCTTCTTTGTCTGCAGCAGGCAGGAGGAGAGTGTCCCATCAGCAGCACGGGGTTAGCTCCTGGAGGGCAGGGCTCTAGCTTTTCTTCCTATCTCTCTAGCCCCAGACAGTGGAAGCGAGGAAGCATTTATCAAATGCGTGCATGAATGAATGACCCAGCTTCCAAGAAGTTTCCACTGTAAGTGGGAAGGCAGGAAGATAAACCAGTAGTGAGCAAGCAGCTTGGTAACTCTGTCTGTGTTAGCTCATCCTTCCAGGCCACACGACACCCACTCTGTCCCTAACACCTCCTCGCTTCACCCCTTTCTGTTCTCTCTCCACTCTGCCTCCGTCCTGCCAATCTTCGAATACTGGACTAAGTGCACTCCTGCCCCAGGCTCTTAGCCTTGCTGTTGCCTGTTCCCCAGATGGCCCTTTCTCTCCTTACCCACCTCGCTCCTTCCCCACTCCTCTGACTATTGGTTGAATGTCACCCTTTCAACGAGGCCTTCTCTGAACGCCCTCTCTAAAGTTGTAACATGTGTGGCTATGACCCTCCCCACCCTCTCTTTTTTTTTTCCTGTAACATCTATCACCATCTGAGGGTTTATATTTGATAGCACGTATGTCTGGTCCTCCCCCTAGAATGTAAACTTCCTGCAGACAGGAACTTCTGTTTAGTTCACTGCTATAGTCCCAGTGCCTAGAACGACACCTGGGACATGTCCGTCACTCAGTAAGTGTTTGTCAAATGCAAGAACATACCAAGAGACTTGGCAGCAAAGGGGAGAAAACAAGTAGGTAGCTCTGCCTGACTTCGGAGCTGGACCTTGAAGGGCAAGTATGACTTTGCTGAGTAAAGAATTTGCCAAGAGGATAGAGAGTCCAGGCCAAAGAGCCTGGGACTGCAGAGGCTGGGGGTGCGCCCGGGGGCAGGGGACCGCCTGTGTAACTGCATCCAGGGGTAGGAGCTGGGGATTGCTGGCCTTTTGCAGGTGGAATTCCCGGAGGCCCGGATCTTTGAGGAAACCTTGAACATCCTGATCTACGAGACTCCCCGGGGCCCAGACCCAGCCCTCCTGGAGGCCACAGGGGGTGCAGCTGGAGGTGGTGGGGCAGGCCGAGGGGAGGATGAGGACAACCGGGAGCACCGTGTCCGCCGGATCCATGTCCGGCGCCACATCACCCACGACGAGCGTCCCCATGGCCAACAGATTGTCTTCAAGGACTGACCTTTGACCTTGCTCTCTGTTTTCCTCCTGCCACTGGAATGCAGTTCCTCTCTCTTTCCCTCCCCTTCCCAGGCCTTTGCCCCGGCTCTGCTGGCCAAGTCGTGGGTCCTCCTTCTGTCCCTCTGTTGCATGGTACAGTTCACTGTGGCCCTTTTCCATTCATTCCCACCTCCCGGCTCACAGCACGGTACATTCCAGACCCTCCATCAGTCAGAACCTTTCAGAAGGCCTGCATTTGTTCCCTTATCCCATCCTTGTCCTGCTATTTTTCCCTCACCAGCTGGTTTAGAATGATTTAGAATTCCCTTTTTCTCTTTCTCTGTCTCTCTCTCTTTTTTAGCACACTGTACACGCCAAAGTGTCCAGCCAGCCCTTACTGACACCCACCATGTTCTGAGCCACCTTCCCACCGTCGTGCAGGGTAGCTTCTCTCTCCCTCCTCCTTCCCCAACCGGTCCCCCACCCCTTTAACTTTGTACTAGGCTGGCCTGGGCTTGCACCAGCTTAGCCGTCTTCTCAATCTATTTCATATTATTTATTTTAATTTTCTATTAAATTATTGGAATAAAACTGAGTTGAGGGACTGGTGCTGGCTCTGGGGGAGAGGGCCAAGGAGATGGCTTGTGTTGATGAGGTACTTGGCTAGCCGGATGGGAGAGTACAGGAGCCCCTGCCCCAAGCCTTTCACTGGGCTGGGTAGCTGGAAGAAGGTAGTCAAGAGCTAGGAGAGGCCATGAAATCTGTATTTCAGTGCAGGCTGGCCAGTTCACACCCTCACCCCCCCACCCCACCCCCTGCAGCCTAGAGGCAGTCCTGGCTACCACTCAAAGCCATCCGTGAGGGAGCACAGCACCTCTCCAGCCCGGGTGTCCGAAGGGAGCCCCTTCCTTCAAGGGTCTGGTGCGAAGACAAAGTCAAGGGCCTGGCGCTCGGCCCCGGCCACGTTGGGGTGCCAGAGGTCCACGATGAAGACCACTCGAGGCCCATCTTCTGGGGAGCCTGAGGCATATGGGGATGGAGATAAGAGAAGGACTGACATTAACTACTTATATGCCAGAGCACTCGCCACGTACTCAGAACAGCCAACACTCTGTAATTAAAGTGCCAGGCTCTATCCTAACCCCTTGTATGTGTTAACTCCTAGTCCTCAAAACAAACTTCAGGTCAGTACCATGATCTCTCCCATTTTATACGAAGTCACTGGGGCACAAAGAGGTTAAATAACTTGCCCAAGGTCACACAGCCAGTAAGTGACAGAGGTAGGACAGGGTCCCGGGTGGTCCAGGTCCAGGGTCTTGTTGGCCACTTTGCTGTGCACCTCCAAGACCTCATTTAATCCCTGAAGTCACCTGATAAAGAAGGTGGCTTCCACACTTCACAGGTGTTGGGGAAAGTTATATGACTTGTTCAAGGTCACGCAGCTGGGAAACAGTAGTGCTGGGACCGGGAGCCAGCTGGGCTTGATCCCGCAGCCTCTATCCTATCCCCCTCCACTCAGTCTCTCATTCCTCCTAGCAGAACGGGAGCCCATTACCATTATGAGCCACTGTGTGCAGGAAGGAGTCGTCCACCAGTAGACAGTGTCCCTCAGCCCAGCACTGGGGCTCGCCCCCGACCACCAGCTCACAGCCAGGAGGAATCTTCAGGCCTATGGGAAGAGACCCAGGCATCCGATTCCCCTGCCTCCAACAAAGGGGCCCACCCCATTCAGTCAAAAAGCAGTTTGAAGCTCTTAAAATGCCCCATGTGGTGTCCCTCCTTGCCCTCTGGAAGGGGTCCCGATGTAATTACAATATAGTACCAGAGGAGAGAAGTGCCAGGGATAAGGGAAGGGCAGTGCAAAGCACAATCTACTTGTTCCAGAGAAAAGGGAAGGCTTCCTGGAGGAAGGGGCATCTCTTCTTGGGCTTCTGCCAGTTTAGCTCAAGACCCTACTTACTGTGTGCTCCGCCCTCATTCGTATAAAACTGATGGATCCCTTTTTGCCTAAGGACCACGACAGAGTAAAGTGCTGCGAGAAAACTCAGCAGCCAGCTCAAATGATGGGGAATAGGAGGACCTCCCAGAGGAGGTGTGGACCTTGAAAGTGGGAGTCCTGAAGGCTGAGTAGGAGTATTCCAGGAGGTGATAGGTGATAAAGCGGAAAGACATTTTAGGCTGAGGATCCCACGAGTGGCACCTGCCAGGATCAGCCAGAAGGCTCTCCTGATCTGATACACGGTGGGAGGGGAGAGGAGGAAGGGAATGGGTGGGAAATGAAGAAAGAATTTGGACTTTATCCTGAGGCCAGTGTGGAACACATCAACTGGTGGCATAGGAAATGATTTTAGGCAACACAAGGTTTTAAATAACCCTGCATTAAATAATAAAATTGTTTCCTTTTCCGCTTTCTCTCAGTCTTTAAAACATGAAGAAAGGAATCTTGGTTTGGTGCTACCGTAACTTTAACAGCCCACTAACTCCACTCTTTTCTAAAGGAAGACAGCGTGGGCTTCCGTCTCAGACTAGAGTATTTATTTAGCTAGAATTTTAAAAGCTTTTTTTTTTTTAAGGTTAAATTTGTTTTTAGGAGTACTTTCTATTTAGTGCAAGTAATACTGATTAGCATTGCTCTGTAAAGATTCCTTTTAAATAAATAAGTGAAACAAAATGTCGGGGGAATCGGTATCAAGAAAGAAGAGTCCAGGTGGTAAGTACCCACGGCAAAGCTTATGAAGATGGTTGGAAGGTAGGTGATCGAAGCTTAGGAAATGCTGCTGTGGGCAACGGGGAGTCAGGGAAGATTTCTGAGAAGGGAGGCGTGATCAGAAACACAGTGGAGAACGCTCAGGGGGCAGGAGGAATCGAGGAGGCAAGGAGGTTGTAGGCAGCATCTACTTACCCAGATGGCATCTGACCCTTGCGTTGGTGGGCCCACAGCGACCCTCAAGCCGCGCCCCAGGCAGGAGGACAGAAAAGCCAGCGTTGCCGAAGGTGTTGGCACTCATAAAGGTCCGCAGCCCCCGCAGTGCGCGATAGGCCCCTGGGCACCGGCGGCAGTTGCTGGGTTGGCACCGGCCTGCTTGGTACAGCAGGAGCTGGTAGCACCCAGGGGCCAGGGGCGGGGACCAGCCCCGAGGCAGAGGAGTAGTCCCTGAGAAGTCCCAGCTCACAGCCCCAAAGTCCCGCAAAATGGCAGGGAAGCTGCTCTCCAGGAGCTCCACGTCATGCCGCTGGGCGTCCCGGGGCACGAAGGGGGCTGAGGGCAGGTCTGGCAAAAAAAGCAGGCCTGGGCGCTGAATGCCCAGGACCCCTGGCCCTCCCCCAGGGCCTGGGCCACCTTGAGCTGCCCGCCTCACCCTACCCATGCCCGCCCAGGAGTAGCGCCTGGCGTAGGCCCGCAGGCGACGGCACACTAGGCCTTCTGCCCTGGGCCCTTCTCCAGGCTCCCCAGAGCTCCCTGGGCTCAGCCTGCCGGCCTCAGAGCATCCCCTAGGCCCTCTGCTGACACTGGCAGCCCGACTCCCAGCTCCCAGAGCCTGCATGTCTTGGGAGCCCAGGCGGTAACAGTACCAGAGGAAAAGGGAAGTCAGGGCTCCAAGGAGCAGGGTGAGTGCTGAGGAGGCCAAGGGCAATGGCCACGCAGGCATGATGGGCAGGGAAGCCCTGGCCAGCAGGCCGGGGGCATCTTCCAGACCCCAGTTCCCCTGTCCTGCCAGTTCTCCTCCAGTTCCCTCTGTGGCTGCTCCCGGGTTACCCCCTGGACTGTTTCCCCTCCACATTTCCCACTCCTTGGTTCTCTCTCCTGAGGTTTTCTCTTCACCTTGTATCTCCCTCTTTCTCACCTCCTTCAAGTACCTCCCAACCCTCCTTTCTCTTTTCTTTCCTTCTATCTCTCTCCCCTTCTACCTCTTTCTCCTTCAACTCTCTCCTCTTTCCTTTCCCCCCCACCCCCTCTCCTTTCTCCTTCCGGCAGTTTCTCTCCCTCAGCCTCTCCTTTCTCCACCCTCTCTGTCCCTTCTTCTTCTCGCCTCCCTCTCCTCCCCGCCCCTCTTTTAGCTCTCCTTCCCTCCCTCCCTTCTAGCTTCCCCGGACAGCAGTTCCTACCCCCACCTGGACCCGTAGCCCCGGGAGCCCGCAACCAGTTGTCCTCCGCAGCGGCTTCTCTCTCTCTCCTTCCAACCCCTCGTCCCCTTCTGCCCTCGCTTCTCACTCGACCCGACCCGCGGGTCTCCTCTCTCTCTCTTTCTCTCTGTCTCTCTCTCCTTCCCCTCCCTCCCTCTCTCCTACTCGTTCCTTCCTTGGCTCCCACTCACCCTGACGTCACCCCTCCCCACAGTCATCTCAGCTTAGCTACCCCCGCCCCCACCCAGGGGCAGTCGCATCTCAGCCGGAGGAGGGGGGGTGGTCTCCGGATTCGCCTCCCCTCCTCGCCCCGACGGGCCGCCACGTGGGGCGCAGGGGGCACAGTGCCAACCTCCAGCGGTCCCGCAATGCGAAAAGAAGGGGCGGGGGCTGGAGGAGGGGCGTGGCAAGACAAGGGGCGGGGCGAGCGCATAGACTGATGGACAGGGCCGGCGCTGGCGGACTGAGGACAGGGACACTGCGGCCTGTCCGTAGGTCTGCTGATCCCTTGACCAGTCAGCTTGTGGCTCCCATCCCCCCTCCGCCTCCACTAGGCGAGCCCCCCCACCCCCACCCCCGGGAGCCTGATCGATAGTGAGGGCGGCTTCAGCCAATCGCCCGCGGCGTCAGGGGCCGGGCACGCTCGGGCTGGGCCGGGAAGAGCTGTCCGCCAGCTCGTGGTGCTGAAAAGGGCGCCCAGAGGCGTTCTGAGGGAGGCCAGGAGGGGAAAAAAAAAAAAAAAAAAAAAAAAAATCAAAGTTGAAGCTGCCTGACAGCTGGCCGGGGTCATATACGCAAGAGAAGGGAGTCTCTCCTCCCCAGATCTTGGACTGTCGCCCCGTAGACTTCTCATAAACGTGGAAATTTGCCATTCTCCTGGAGGAGGGGAAAGCCCGTTTCACAGGAGCTATAAAAGGGAAAGGGAGGTCCCGTGGGGAGGGGGGAGGTGTCTGGATGTGGGCAGGGGGCATACTGGGGAGCTGAGCAAGCGTGAACCCAGCGGTGCCGCCCCTCAGCACCCTGGGAAGAGGAGATTCAGATTCCAGATGTGCTGGAAAGGCTGGGGGAAGGGGCTGTAATTACAGCTAGGACCAGAGTTTCCTTTGCCTCCCCTAGGGGCCGCGGGAGTGAGGATTACGGTCTGGCTCATGTGGTCCCTCCTTCCTCCATCTGCACTTCCTCCTTCTGCCTCCCCCCCATCGCCCCCAAATAAATCCCAGGCCCCTCCCTTCGCCCGTCCCCAGGATCTGACGTGGGCTTGACACCTTTCTCAGCTTCTCCCTCCCGCAGTTCCAGTGCCCGAGCTTCGGCTCTCCAGGTTCCGCAACCCCCTCCCGTCCCCACCAAGCTCCGATAGAGCACAGTAGGGACCCCCCCCCGATCCTCGACCCCACTCCAGACCCCCAGAAGCTGTCTTGCCTCTCCCTACTCCCCCAGCCTGGGATCCAGCTAGCTCGATGGACCCACGCGCCGGAACCAGAGGGTAACCCAGGCGACCCAGCCCCTTCGGCCTTCTCGGTCCCACCCCCTGCAGCCGGAGCCGCGCCCCCTCTCCCACAGACCCGATAGCAGAGGACAGAGGAGATTGGGCAAGGAGGGGTGGGATCCAGGCGACCCCCAGCCCAATTCTGCCCCTCCATCCCAAGGGACAGAGAAATTGTCTTCCTTGCTAACTGCTAGCAGGAAAAAAAAAAGAAAAAGAAAAAGAAAAAAGAAAGGGAAAGATAAAAGGAGACGGAGGAAAGGTGACAGCTAGATTATTTAGGAGAGGCGCAGAGAAGAAAAATCGTGTGTGAGTCGCCATGGGGACTCCCAGGGCCCAGCACCCGCCGCCTCCCCAGCTGCTGTTCCTAATTCTGCTGAGCTGTCCCTGGATTCAGGGTAAGGACATGGGAGCGTGGGGGTAGGCCCTGGGATGGTCCCCACCTGGGGTCCTCTACCATCCTTTCTCTGAACATCCTGGCTTTCTGAGCTTCTGGGGGAGGAGGGATACAGCTGACAGGGAAGGGGTAAGCCAGGGCATTCTGACTTGTACCTGGAGCCCTAACCCCCAATACTGAGAAGGTGGGGAAATGAATGAGGGGAGCTTTAACCAGCATCTCAGGGGTTAAATCCAGGAAGAAGGGCTGGGGAAGTTGGGGGGATGTCTGCGGAGGCGGCAGAAGCATGCAGGGTACCTGGGTGGGAGATGGAGGTGCTGGGAGAGACGCCAGGCACTGCACGCACAAATGTTCTTGGACGTATGGACAAAGAGAGATGAACAGAGGCAGTGCTCAGAGCCCAGATATTCAGTCCTCTACTCTGACCCCTCGCCAGACTCCAGGGAAGCGGGCAGAGACTGCAGAGAATGAAAGAGAGAGAGAGGGAACCACACTGCAGAGATAGAAACCCAGAGATAAAGCTGGGCATTGCGGAAGCAAGGGCTGGGAGGTGCTGCCAGACCCTCCGCAGAGCTCCAGGGCTGGGGGAAGAGCACCATCGAGGGGGAAAGGAAGGTAGCACTGGGGCCCCTCTCCACTCGGCTGGCGCTGTCCAGGGTTCATAAGAGCCAAGATGCTCACTGAAGTCCCACACAGCGTGGGAGGGGAGTGGGGTGGAGAGGAAGGTGTAGGGGTGCTGGGGACAGCTGGGAGCCCCTCCTCCACTCTTGGCTCTCAGCCCAGTCTGGGACCCTCTGAGCTCCTGCAGGCCCAGCTGACTAGAGGGGAGGAAGAGCTCTGGAAAAGATCTTTCTGGAGAAGGAAGGAGTGTGGGGCAGTGGAAGGGCTCACACAACTTCATCTCCTAGGTCTGCCCCTGAAGGAAGAAGAGGCACTACCAGAGCCTGGAAGTGAGGCCCCCACAGTAGCCTCTGAGGTTTTGGCGGAGCTGCTCCATGGGGCCCTGCTGAGGAGGGGTCCAGAGATGGGCTACCTTCCGGGTGAGGCCCCAGAATGGCAGAAGTGACACAGAGAAAGAGAGAGGGACGTTAACTCGAGAAGATGGGGACCCAAGCCAGTGATATTCAGCAAGATATGGTTAGAGAGAGTCAAAATGGCATAGACAGAGAACCAGGGCAATTGAGACTGAATGATCAAGAGCCAGAGCCAGACAGAAAAACAGACCATCAGAGAGAAAGACAGATGGAAACTCAGAGAACCAGAGTCCGAGGAATTGGGGGAGAGAGACCTAGAAAGAGAGAGAAATGCAGAGAGTAGCAGATTTAGAATCATAAAATCAGAGAGCCACAAGAATACTAAACAGAGAAGAAGAGTTCCAGACAGAGCAAAAGAGAGAAAGAGGAGGGAGGAAGGGGTGCGCAGGAAAGGGAGCCAGACCTGAAACGGAAGCGTGGAGAGTCTCAAGGAGACTGACCCAGTGGAAGGGCCTGGGTGGAGAGGTGGAGAGGGAGGGGTGGGGAGGTAGGGCTGTGGAAGCCTTGGGAGGACGTGTAGAGTTCGGGTGTGGAAGGGAGAGGTGGGGGGCTTGCAACTTTTGGGTTCAGTGGGGGGACCCCCCAGTTTCCCTCAGCCCTGCTCCCCACCCATGACCCACCAATTTGCTCTTTCTGTGCCCTGACTTACCTTGCACTGTCCCAGGATCTGATCCAGACCCCACACTAGCCACCCCTCCAGCCGGCCAGACTCTTGCAGCACCCTCCCTGCCACGGGCCACTGAGCCAGGGACGGGGCCTCTGACAACGGCTGTAACCCCTAAAGGGGGAAGGGGGGCAGGCCCCACCGCTCCAGAGCTGCTGACCCCGCCCCCGGGAACTACGGCCCCGCCCCTTCCTGGCCCCGCCTCCCCAGGCCCGCCCCTCGGGCCTGAGGTAGGAGAGGAGGAGACCACGACCACCATCATCACCACGACCACTGTTACCACCACGGTGACCAGCCCAGGTGAGGCGTCTGAAAGGGGTCGGGAACAGTGTGCAGGAGCATAAATGTAGGGGAGGAGGGTGGGATGCCCGGGGAGAGGCTGCTGGAAAAGTGTGGAAGCAGGGGTCTGGGTACAGATGAGAAAGGGGCCTCTGCTCAATCATTTTTTGATTATTATTTGATTATTTATTATTATGGTGGGCGTGTGTCTACCCTTGCGGTGGGCCAGCACCGTTCTCTGTGTTTTATCTCTACTACAGTTGGGGAAGGGAGTTGTGGGCACGGGTGGGAGAGGGAGCCGCCGATAAAGATGGTGAGGGGTGCAGGGGACAAGACAGGTGAAGGCCCCCAGAGTTGCTTGGCTGGGAGGGCAAAAGCACAGGGAATCAGTCAGCTCCAGACACTTGTGTCTCTTTAGTTCTGTGTAATAACAACATCTCTGAGGGCGAAGGGCATGTGGAGTCTCCCGACCTGGGCAGCGCCGCCAGCCGCACCGCCGGGTTCTTGGACTGCACCTACAGCATCCATGTCTACCCTGGCTACGGCATTGAGATCCAGGTAACTGGACTTTGAAGCCCCCAAGCCCTTTCCTCTGGGCCCAGGTGTGTGCACAGCTTTGGCCCGGGAAACTTCCCTGACTCAGTGGGCCTGTTTTCTGAGGATCTCAGAGACTCTCCTGGAGTTCTATAATGTGGCCAATGTCACGGTGGTATTTGGGCTGCCACACACAGGAGAAAGGAAGGCAGACGGTGGGGGGCTTAGGGGTCACCCACCTTGACTGACTTGTCCTGTGGGGTGGGGGGACGGTGGTCTGGGTCTGGCCTTCTTTAGGTGCAGACGCTGAACCTATCTCGGGAGGAGGAACTCCTGGTGCTGGCTGGTGGGGGGTCCCCAGGCCTGGCCCCCCGACTCCTGGCTAACTCCTC